TTAGCCAGAAAAGCTGCAATCTAATGTTGTTGAAGTTTACTTACTGTATTTATCTGTTTCTAATGGCATACTGCTTGATAAGATAGGTACTCAGAGCTGATGTTTCTATTGCCCTAGTGTTACATATATGTCTGTGTGTTAGTTGGTGAAATAAAAAGCTGTCTCTGTTTTTTATTTAATAAAAGAGTATTTGGAAGAGTATTGCAAAACTCACAGAATCAAGGGGCAAATGGAATGATATGATTTGTCAACCTCAGGAAGAGTGATATGACAACTGTGGCATCTTGGGGTGTTCAACCATGAGCATCTCTTAAGTCTTGGCCATTGAAATGGCTCAGTTCTGTTTTCATTCAGTGCTCCACTTAGGATCTGTGCTCCTTGGAAGGGGGTCAGATTTGCTCTAAGCTTAAGTCAGGTGCCTATTTTTTAGTTGGGGTGATTGACAGGCTGCCAAAGACACAGGCAAAGGGAAAGGAGTATTTCCAGTTACCAAAGAAGGGGAAACAGGAAACACCAACAGGTGCCCACTTCTAACAGATTCATCTAAAAGCAGAGGGAATTTCAGTGATAGTTTTAACTTGGAAAATAAGTGATTTGGATACTATTTGAATTTAATCACCAAGCTATTCCTCTAGATGGACAATCCTGGCAGTTAAATTCATCAACATATTTTTATGTTCAATTGTGACAACTTGAATTTTTCTGATCAGTGATATTTATTTAGCTATTTTTTCAAATATACACAAAACACAACAACAGTATGAACCCATATTTAACTTACCCAATTCAGCAATTGTTAATGTTTTGCCAGTTTTGTTTCTGTTGACTGCATTTAAAGCATTATCGTAAGAAGTTTTTACAACTGGCTACATAAAAACAGATTTATTTATATTTAAAAAATTGCAATATAGTTGATACACAAGTATATTGGTTTCAAGTATACAACACAGATTCAACAGTTACACACATTATTAAATCATCACATTCAACTAGTGCAGTTATTTTCTGTCAACACAGAAAAATGTTATAGAACCATTGACTATATTCTCCATGCTGCACTTCCATTCCCATGACCAACTTATATTAGGATTGAGATTTTTGTGCCCCTTTATCCTCCATGCCAATCCATCCTAATCCCTCCCTCATGGTAACCATGAGTTACTTCTCAGTGTCTATGAGTCTACTGCTGTTTTGTTCATTTGTTTTGTCTTGTTTTGTTTTTAGATTCCACAAATAAGTGAAATAATATGGTATTTGTCTTTCTCTGCCTGGCTTATTTCACTCAGCATAATACCCTCTAGGTCCATTCATGTTGTCGCAAATGGCAGGATTTCTTCCTTCTTAATTGCTGAATAATATTCCATTGTGTATATTTACCATGTCTTCTTTACCTTGTCTCTTGGTGGACACTTAGGTTGCTTCCATATCTGGGCTGTTTTAACAGTGCAGTGATAAACACAGGGGTGCATGTGTCTTTTTGAATCACGGATCTTGTTTTTGCTGGGTAAATTCCTAGAAGTGGAGTTACTGAGTCAAATGGTATTTCTGTTTTTAGTGTTTTGAAGAACCTCCATACTGCTTTCTGGTTGCACCAATTTGCATTCCCACCAACGATGTAGGATGGTTCCCATTTCTTCACATCCTCATCAACGCTTATTATTTTTTGTCTTTTGGATGGTGGCCATCCTAAGTGGTGTGAGTCCAATGCCTCACTGTGGTTTTGATTTGCATTTCCCTGATACTTAGTGATGTGGGGTATCTTTCCATGTGTCTGTTTGCTGTCTGTATTTCTCCTATGGAAAAATATCTGTTCAAGTCCTCTGCCCATCTTCTAATTCGGTTATTTGTTTTTTGGCATTGATTCTTATGTTTTGGATGTTAACTACTTATTGGATAAATCATTTATGAATATATTCTCCCATACTCTAGGTTGCCTCTTTTGAAAAATACTCACAGGATGCAGGCTGAGAACTTGCTCTATGAACTTAAACCCAAGTATCAAATGATCATTTGTCTCATACCAAAAAATATATTACCAGTTGGAACAAAAGATGGTGCAACAGTTATGCATTGATTACCTGGAAGTAGAATTTTGTATCACCCAGTGATTTGTTTACTGGCTTTGTCGGATGAGTTAATGCCTTAGCAACTCTCTTTCCAGATTACCTTTATTAAATTTGTCTCTGGTCCTTAGAGTCAGAGGTTTTATTAGACAGTAAAGTTTCTAAACACCAGTCAGTGTGTGCATTGTATAAGAGCTGAATGTGCTCTAATCTCTTCTGCAGTTGAAAGATGCATGAGTGTAATGCAGTCCGGGACACAGATGATCAAACTGAAACGTGGTACCAAAGGGCTTGTGCGGCTCTTTTACCTGGATGAGCACCGGACCCGCCTGCGATGGAGACCCTCTAGGAAGAGTGAGAAGGCAAAAAGTAAGACCAACCTTTGAATTCTTTGCTTGGCTTGACATAGTAACACATGGGTTATATTGAGTTGGCTCTGTGGGAGCTTCAGATCTGTGGAACTTTCATAATTTTGAAAGTTTTGGAGTCAGTTGTTAAAAAATGTTCAGAGACTGAATAAATGATCATTTTGCTTTTTAATTTCTTTGGAAAATTTAAATCCATAAAAGTTTTCTTGTCCATTAATTCTCTAATTAATTCTGTCATTTCCCCTGTGTTGGGAGACATGATTATTTTTTGTTGTTGAAATAGAGGCTTTATAGCCTGACTCCCTTTATTTTCATATAAAAGGCGAAGGATATAATAAATCCAGTGAACTTTAAGATGTATGCCATATTCTGAACACAGTTAATTGATTAGTGAGTTGACAAAATTTGCTTTAATATCAAGGTTTGATGGAACTCCTCCTTAGGGCCTCTCTCCCACAATGTTTACACTCAGCACCAGGTCCATGTTGGGTCTTCTATCTCCTTCCTTCCTGTTCTCACAGGAACCTCCTTGGTCCAGGGTCTCTTCACCTTTCTGATGGCCCATTGGGAAGTCCCCTAACCGACTTCATTTTGCTAGTCTCTCTGCTTTCATCAGTTAAGATGCTTCTTCAAGTAACAGAAGGCCCCACTGAATGAGGCTTACATGATAAACAAATTTCTATTTCACTACCAAGAAACTCAGGGATGGTAGCCCGAGGCTGGGCACGCTGACTCTGCGGTCCTGTCTGGCTGGGTGCTCCTGGCTCTGTCCCTGTGTGTTGGTGGTGTAATCAAGGAAGCACAGAGGCTTTAGCTGTTCTCAGCCTCACAGCTGATGGGACAGTGAGGACGCAGAAAGGGGCCTGCACTTCTGGCGCTTCCTTTTTAGGAGAGAGCCCCTTTGCAATCCTTCCCTCAAAGTGGACTGCCCCATGTCTCCCTGGTTTGAACTGGGTTACATTCCCACATCTAACTCAATTTAAAAAATAGGAATGGGGCTACACCAATGGCTTAGACCTGCCAGACCTTGCCCTGGAGCTGGGCAGAGGCTCATCTTCTTGTGAGACATGTAGGAATGAGGATACGGGAAGAAAATCAGACCCTGCCAGTAACTCAGAGTGGTTGGTGTATACGGGCAGTCAGGCAGGTTGCAGCACTTCTAATTCATGCTTAAAAACAAACAAGCACAGAGACAACACATGCCATTTTAGGGTAAAGTAACCATCCCTGCCAGGGCTTCTCTGAGCCAAACTTGCACCGTTGCTCTACCACCTGAGGGACACCCCCCTGTGGTCTGTCACCGCAGGCTCTTCCCAGACTCTGCCTACCGCTCTGGCTCTGGGCCCCTTTGCCCTTGCTTGAGCTTTCCAGCCCTGCGTAAACGTTCTGCTCAGTGCCCCTGGGGTGGACCTTAGGTCTCCATGTCTGTGGGCCCCTCCCCTCCGGCTGCCCCTTGTTCTTCCCCGCCTTGCTAAGTGCTGCCTTACCGTCATCATGGCAGCATTCTCTCTGTAAACACCAGCCACATTTAATTTAACTATGCTATTCAGTTTCCACCAAATGTTTTTTCCTTTCAATTTTCAGCTGTCATCTTACGCACATTGTAAAACACCAAAGTTGGCTCTAGGCCTTTGTTTTCCCTGTGTAGCTATGTAAAGTATATATTTAACATATTCATAGCCCTCTTTTCCTACTGTCCTTCATGCCCTGATGGGCATATCTATATTCCTATCATGCATTTTAACCTGTCCTGACTCAGTGTCTGGGAGGATACGGCCCAGGCCGTCCAGGAAGGTAAAGTGGTATGTGGAGAAGGCTCCTAGCAGGAAATGATAGGGCTTGTCTCTCACATTTGGACTTAATACCACAACTCACAGAATTTGTTCACACTTCTTTTTAAGATGCTTCTGCTTTTCTTTTTTCTTAATCCATACATGTACCTTCACCTGCCATGTAACTGTGTGGTTCACTTCCCTCACAGTACTTATTGACTCCATTTACAAAGTCACCGAGGGTCGGCAGTCTGAAATATTCCACAGACAAGCCGAGGGGAACTTTGATCCCAGCTGCTGCTTCACCATCTACCATGGCAACCATATGGAGTCCCTGGACCTCATCACCTCCAACCCCGAGGAGGCCCGCACCTGGATCACAGGCCTCAAGTACCTGATGGCCGGCATCAGCGACGAGGACTCCCTGGCCAAACGGCAGAGGACGCATGAGCAATATCCTCTCTGGAGCTTTAATTTTGAGCTCAGTGCATGTATATGTGTGTGTGTGTTAGACTATGCTTACATTTTTCCCATGATTTTGAGGCTTAAAGCCACATCGCTCTTGGTCTCTTCCTTTACTCTTAGCACCCTTCTGTCCCCTCTGCACTCTCACCCCAAGTAAATGAATGCATAGATACATAAGCTTGCATGAACCCAGGAGCAGATGTCCTGTGAGGAGACTGCGTTTGGCTCCACAGACTGTGACATCTCCAAGTGCAGCCTAAAGTCTCCTGAGAGAGATGAGGTAACCGGGAAAGTGTGTGTTTGGATTAGAAAAAATCCTACTTCGTTATAAAGTCTGTTTACTTTTAACAAGCACTTTTTGAGCTCTAATTAATGTACCAGGTATTAAGCTCTTTGAAGCTTTTCCTCTAATTTAATTTACAGTTTGGATACTGAACTGATTAATATTCAGGGGGAAGTTATTATTTACTTATTAACATTTACCCTCCTTAAATTGACAGTCAAGAAACTGGAGTTGGAGTGTCATTTTTGATGAAACCCATTCTTGTGGTCCCTCAGTGCTGATAAATGATTAACGTGCTTGGTGTAAAGACACCTCTTCTGCTGGGCTGAGCTGGGCATGTGACACGACCTTTCTGTCCTCAATTTCCTTATCTATAAAGTGAGATCGTAGATTTGTCAACTGTTTTGGTTCCCTTCCTCACATTTTGAATGGACTTAGAAAACATGTGCTCCCATGTACCCAGGGATAGTACGACGTCCTTGTTGTTGGGATGTGTGCCCTACATTTTTTCTTGGAATGGTGACAAATTTGTGCTGCTCCAGTTATCATGCCTCACCCAGGGTGTTGTTGGAGCCGAGTGGACATATGTAGCCCATGGAAGGGTTTTGACAGTGGGAAGGTCTGAGCTGATCAGCCGTGGTGTTATTGCAATATTCACAGCATGGAGATAGTGAAACTGGGATTCATAAATAAAAAAAACACAAACATAGGAAGTAACTTTTTCTGCTTATTCTGTTAGTTTGGTTCTTTACTCCTTTATATTTGGTGAAAAAGCAAACAAATACTGAATCTATAAGAATGCTGATACCAGAAAGTATAAGCCACAAAACCATACTAACAGTGTCTCAAATAATAAAGAATATTTATTTCTGATGAACAAGGGATGTGAGATGGGGCAGTCCCACGGTTGGTTAAGCAGTGGTTCACTGATGTCCTCAGAGACCTGGATTCTGCCATTCTCAGCATGTTGCTTGGTCTGTCCGCTGGCTGCCCTTGCTCTGAGAGAGCTGCAGCAGCTCCGGACATAGCCCTGCTCACGGGGAGTAAAGTTTCTTCTCATAATTTTTTTTCAAGAGCAAAGAAAAACTTTCCAGGGGCCCTGGAAAAGGCTCTTGCCTTTAGATGGAAATACTGTTGCAGGCCTATTCTTAAACTAGTCTCTGACAAGAGAAATGAACATAATTGAACTTTGATGTCAGGACTCTTTGCATTCTTAAAGACTAAAGACTCCAAGGAGTTTTTGTTTATCTGAGTTTCATCTATTGACATTCTGTCATATTAGAAATATGAGAATTAAAATAATTTGTTAATTCATTTAAAATTACAAACTATTACATGTTAACATATTTTTATGTGAAAGGTAACTATTTTTCAAAGCAAAACAAATTAGTGAAAAGAGCAGCATTGCTTTACTCTTTTGCAAGTCTCTGTAATGTCTGTTAATAGAAAGCATGGATTCTCCTATCTGCTTTGGCATTCATTCTGTTGTGATGTGTCATATGTAATGTCTGTTAATAGAAAGCATGGATTCTCCTATCTGCTTTGGCATTCATTCTGTTGTGATGTGTCATGTTGGTTGAAATTCATGAGGAAAATCTACCCTCCTCACACAGATGAATAGTTGGAAAAGGTGGGGGGGGGTACTTCATCATTATTGAGTCCCCTTAGACTATACTTTGAGGATGGCTGAACTAAGGCCAATCACCTCCCACTCTATTAAGGCTCATGGTTCTTGGCTATCTCTCTCCATAGGGGAGACAGTTAATTCCAGAAATCACTATCTTTACCCAGTTAACTAGGACAAATTCACAATATTCTAGAGCCCTTAGCTACTTGTGTGTGTACCTGTCATAATCCTTGAAGTGGACAGAGAAATGGGCATATATTACGGAATCCTTGTTGGCTTCTGTCATTATTTTCTTCATTTTTTTAATGGTGGCAAAAATTCCCCCTTTATTAGATGGTACTAGTTGTATGAGAAATATATGCTTCTTGCAGTAAAGCCAAAGAATACCGAGCTGCATAAAGAAAAAGTCATTATTTTTTCCCCCTGTCCATCAATGTTGTACTTTCTTTTCCAGGTTTACTTCTGGGAAAGTTTGATGCACACTGTCATACACTTTTTTCCTGCCCATTTTTGAATAAAGTTGTTTTTCATTGTTGACTTTTGGAGCTGTATGTATCCTGGTTATTGATCCCTTGTCAGATAAATGATTTGCAAATATTTTCTTCCATTCTGGTAGTATAGCCACCCCCACTCTCTCCTGGTGACTGTTTGCATGGACTATTTTTTTCCACCTTTTCGCTTTCAATCCATTTGTGTTGACTCTCAAGTGAGTTTTTTTGTTTTTTGTGTTTTTTTTGTAGGCAGCATATAGTTGGGTCATGATTTTATCCTGTTTTTTTTTAAAAAATATGTTTTAATCTGTCTTTTGATTGGAGAGTTTAGTCCATTTATATTTAAAGTAATTAATGATAAAAAGGTTCTTGCTTTTGCCATTTTGCTTTGTTTTCTATATATGCCTCATGTTTTAGTCACCCCATTCTCTATATTACTGTCTTTTTGTGTGTGTTTAGGTGACTTTTTTAGTGAAATGTTCCTTTTGTGTATATTTTATAGCTCTTTTCTTTGTGGTTAAATCCATGGGGATTATATTTAACATCCTGAAATTATAATACTCTTAATTTGAATTTATACCAGCTTAGCTCAATAGTGTTTCGAACCTGATTTGTTTGTCCATCTATTTGATTTGTTTGTTCACTGGCAGTAGAAAGCTTTCATATTCAAATTAATCAAGTTGACAACTGAAGGATTTCATATTCTGAGCATATGCTTTCTAGAAAACAAGTGTACCCCAGAACTGCACAGAGGAGTAATTTTACAAGAAATGTAGAAGTAAGTGAAATTTCTGTTGGGAGTGAGAAAGAAAAAAAGGAAAGTAATGAATAAGAAAGAAAAAGCTGATGTCAAAAACAGGGACAGTTATGTTGAGTCAGGGAACCATTCTCATATGGAATTGGGAGAATTTGATAGGGTTTTAGATAATATCTTAATAACAGAATGACATTCTTGATTGGACATACATTTAATTATATTGTGGAGAACAGCTTGAGGATGTTCATTATTATTTACATTTCAGTTAGGCCTGAACATTTCACCTGTGAATGAGTAATGAGAAGTGGCTATATGAAAAAACCCATCCAGTAAGAAGTGTAGTCCAGGTTATTCCTGCAGTGCTTAGATACCGCTGGAAGTGATACAAAGTTGTGTTAAAGGTGTTGCACTGCCTGGGGTTCAGCCCCAGCTCTGCCATCTAATGTGTAACTTTAGGTGAATTACTTAAACTCCTTTGCCTCAGAGTCCTCCTCATCTGTAACATGGCAGTGATGTTAATCATAGTGCCTACCCTATGTGGCTGTGTGAAGATCAAGCGAGTTGATGTATACAAAGTGCTTAGAACACTGTCTAGCACATATTAAATACTTTATAAATAATTGCTACTGTTACTGCTAAAGGGAGGTAAAGATTGGCAAACATTTACTTTCCTGTTCAGGTACATTAAAGTCAGAAATCTCAGTTGGTGGCCTCAGTGTACAAAGGTGATGGTGCTGGAGTCTAGTCTCAGCTTTTCTCCATCAGATCATTCTCCTCCATGGTTCCCCCACCTTATCTCTGTACCCTATGAGAGAAATTATTACACTGAGAAGATTTGAGGTAGTCCTTTATTGGATTTTGTAAACTAAAGCCTTATGCCTTCCCTTATACCTGAGGCCCTGCAAATTATAGCTTGTTGGGCACATATGGTCTACTACCTATTTTTTGTATGGGCTCCTGAGCTAAAAATGGGTTTTCAGTGGTTGAAAAAAATCAAAAGAGGAACATTTTGTGACATGTAAAAATTATGTGAGATTCAAATTTCAGTATCCATGAAGTTTTGTTGGAACCCAACCATGCCGGTTCGTTTATGTGTCATCTATAGCTGCTTTGTGTAGCAATAGCAGAGGTGAGCAGTTGCAGTTGAGACCAAATGGCCTGCAAAACCTAAAATACTTACTTTCAGGCTCTTTACAGAAAATGCTTGCCCACCCCTGCACCAGACACTACCTACCATTCAGTACTTTACATTTCCCTAGAGTTTCTTGACAGAAAATATGAGGCCATAACTTTTATTTAGGTTTTACTCTCCCAGCTTTTCTTTGCAGAATGATTATTTCTGTTCTTAAGTTTATCACGTTAAGGCTATGAGTCATTAATTCAGCATGTTCTTGGGCACTCCTGTCTTAATTATGAAGAACAACTTTACGCTGTCAGAATACTTTTACCTGCAATTGTATCTTTTGCCATGTGTACTGTTACTGGGAGGGGATGGCTTTTCCTTTTATGAAATCTTGGAGTCGGAGGGGACATCAGGGTCATCTAGTTGTGCTCGCTGGCACAGGGGGAGAAATGGAAGCCCCAAGAAGTGACATATGTGACCCACTGCCAAGGGGCCATGTCAACATAGAATCAGAGCTGAGACATGTTCTTGGCCTGATTCTACTTCTGTTTCCGCCTTACCGCCCCCACATCCCCTAGACCAGCTGTCAAGGCCAGCTCGTGTGTTGACATGAAGGCCTTGCAGCCACAGTCCCACCCTGAAGGGCTTGGATCTGTAGAGTCCTCCCCGTACGATTGGCTTGTCTTTGCCTCTTCTCTGGAGAAGTCCTTGAGAGGCTTTGCTAAATAATCATCAAATCAAAGGATGAAAATATTGCTGTAGTTGGAGTCATTTCATCACTTCTTTGAACTCTGGCAAAATACTCTGTGGGGCACAGAACAATGTCTATAGTCAAAAGAAATGGAGCTCATGGAATGGGTGCTGTGTATCCAGAAAACTGAAGAAATGAGATTCAGGAACTTGCCACTAGTTGCCCTAATTGTTTTACTGTTTTGATTCTTCAGTTATTTTTCCTCTAGTCCTGGGTCACCCTTTAACTTCCAGGTATCATATAATATATGAGGTCCTGCCAGAACTCTTAAGGGGAAAAATTAAATTGGAAAGAACTGCGATGGCTATTTTCAAATGTTATAAAAGGAACAAAATGTGAAACAAAGTATTTACAATCTGAAAATCACCTCTATTTAACCCTAGAAGAAATAAGACTTTTAACTTTCTCGTTGTTTTTAGTATCTAATATAATCTCCTACAGCCATAATTTGAATCATCTAAGAAATGTGAATGTGTGGTTACCACTGGGAGGTTAGTTAATATCTTAACTTAAAATGAAAATCTCTAAGTTTGATGTCACCTGCTTGATAAACAAATATTACCCATGGACCCTTTCCTCCGACCTCTCATTTTTCCATTTGTTGGTTCTAAACCTGTACCTTTCCCTTTGATTCTCTGGTTTCTTTCCATCACCTTTGCTTTCCCTTTTGCTACCCTTTGAATTTTGTAGGTCAACTTGGTTTTCTAAGTATACTCACAATTCCTGCCTTCTATAATTTACCCCCCATTTAACTATAAATCATCCATTAAAAAAATCCTCTGGTAAGCTTGGAATTGTAAATTCATCCACTTGTTACTATTTATTCTGCTGCCCTACTATGTAAAACTACCCAAGACTCATCCTTCTGAGGTGTCTTAAAATCTCAGTTCACAGGATATAACTCCTTTGTATCTAAACTCAGCTTCATATGCTCAGTCACCTAGTATCATACCCATGTTTTGAAGGCAACCTGTAGCATATCAAGCTTGGAGTTAATATTATTGTTCTGGATTTAGAAGTTTGGGGCTATTAGTTAAGAACCATCAAAGCTGGTAATAGGAAGACAAACATACTATATAGAGACAGGCCTTTTGTGTAGGAGAGAAGAGTACTAGACCAGGTTGCAAGAGATGTGGTTTCTTACTAACCCTTACCAGATATCTTCTTCTCCCCTAGTTTTGTGTCCTTGTACGAACAAGGAACTAAACTAGATGGTCTAAATTTCCAAATGTAGGAGTGGGACTGAGAAAAGGGAACTGGGAAGATGGTGTAGCGTGGG